GGACCCAAAAGGGGGCGACCAATTCCAATGCCTCCCCCCCAAAAAAAAAAAAAAACTTATCCACGAGGGGGGGGGGGTGGAAGGACAGACAAATAAGCGAATACATAAAGAAAACAAACGAGTAAATGGGGGGAAAAGGGGGGGGGGGTCTGGAAAGACAGAAAAATAAGCGAATACATAAAGAAAACAAACGAGTAAATGGGGGGAGAAGGGGGGGGGGGGAACGAGAGATGTGACAAAGCAACTCGGACAGTCAGTAAGCGCGAGAAAATAGGCCAAGGACGGCGCAGGGGCCAAAGAGATGGTGAAAGTAGACGCGGTGAAATTCTAGCGAGTGTGTTTTGTTTTTTTAAGACAAAATGAAAATACATTCAGTGGACGGAAAAGGACAAGAAAACAAAGGATAGGAGGGGATGGGGGAATTCCCGAGGGCGTTACACAGGGGAATGGAGGGGGAGGGGGGAGGGAGAAGGAAAAAGGACAGAGGAACGAGCGAGAAACTGAAGAAAGCTGAAAGGGTGACGGAAAGTTACGAGGAAGATAACAGGAAAAAAAGACGGGAAAGAGGTTTTTTCGGGAGAGGAAAAAGAGGAGGAGACAATGAAGCTGATAAGACGAGAAGACGGGAACAAGACAATAAAAGGAAAACTGAGAAGTGAACAAAAGCAGAAAAATCGGGAGAAATTTTCCAGAAACATAATAGCAGGACAAGGCCGCGAGAATTTCGCAAGACGATCCACTTCGGAGGAAAAACAAAACCCCAACTAATGAAGCATGCTTGCCACCTGCCACGCCCCCCTCACCCCATGAAAAAAAACTTGCAAAACAAATTATCCAAAGCCGTTAATACTTAGCCCGTGCTTGTTCCACACGCCATCTCAATCGCCATTAACCTTGAGCACGTAAATAATAATCACGGATGGAGGACAGCGGGTCCCCAGTCAGGGCGAAGGAGCGACAGCAATCCAGGTCACCGCATGCCGACGCCGACAGCAGAAGCGACGTCCCTCAAATAAGGCTTCCTGGCATGAGGACGACGGAGGCGGCGCTGCAGACGCACCAGCGGTAATTTGCTTAAAAATGCACGCGCGAACACATGTGATGTCGGCGCGCGTGCCACGTGCGGTCGTGTGACACGCAGGCCTCGAGTGTTAGGAGAAATACTCGCAATAATATTCATTTAGCGAGAGAATACACCGACCGCATACGTCAAGATTCGCACGCGCGCGCCCACACGTACACAAAAATAAATAAATAAATAAGCAAACAAATAAATAGACAAAATATAAACTTCCTCCACATACAACGCAGACGCGGCCACAAACGCAGAGGCTACGACAACAAACACGCTCCCAGGTGCCCGCGGATCAGAGCCCGAGTGTAAATTATCAATAATAACACATTCCTCGAGATCCCCGCGCCTAAGCCCACGCAGCCCCTCGGTCTTTGCCGGGCTGAGGTCCTGCCGGCCTACAACGCTGGCATTCGGGCTGCTCCTTCATCGGCGGCCAAGTACCGGTACCACACAACTCTCCAGATTATCCGGATTGTCCATTAAATGAAGTTTACGGCTGGGGGACCAGAGGAGTTGGCTGGCTGGCTCGCTCTCTAGCATTCTCTCTCTCTCTCTCTCTCTCTCTCTCTCTCTCTCCTCTCTCTCTCTCTCTCTCTCTCTCTCTACTACTCCCCCCTTCTCTCTCTCTCTCTCACTCTTACTCCCCCCCTCTCTCTCCTCTCACTCTTACTCCCCCTCTTCTCTCTCTCTCTCTTCTCTCTCTCTCTCTCTCTCTCTCTCTCTCTCTCTCTCTCTCTCTCTCTCTCTCTCTCTCTCTCTCTCTCGTCGTATCACTCGACCGATATGTAAACCAGTAACTATGAATATTTGTATTTTTGTAATTTAAGTATTGTATATATCTTAAACTGTTATTAAACCTAAATTTTGGGTGAGAGTTGTGAGACCACATCGGGACTTATAAGATAGGGGTGAGGATAACCTAAGTTCCCCCATACTTTTGAAATGTATTTTTTTGGTCTCAATAAACGTGTGTTAGTCAAAGAATCTCTCCCTCTTTCTCACTCACTCACTCACTCCAATCACTCTCACTCACTTCGCAATACACACATTCTTTTAACCATCTGTGGTAGCAAATACAAGTATAACAATTTATATGCAACCAAACCTCTCTCTTCTCTGGCCATTTCCCTCTCCCCGGCAACCCCGCCCTCAAATCAAACCCGGGGCATTCTCCCTCACGCCCCTCCATCCCATCTCCGAAATGCACATCTACCCGAGAAAAATCCGCAGCGACACACACTCTGAAGGCAAAAGCTTCGACTGGCGAGCTTCTTGCAAACAGGAAGTGGCACGTGCGCTCATGGGAAGAAAAACGGCAAGAACATGCATTAGAATATGAATACATCCTCCCTAAATCCTCAACAAATAAGGAACATACACGCAAGCACGAATGCTTTCAGATGAGGCTTGAAGAGGGCGGGAAGGAAGGCAGGGAGGGAGAACGCAGGGGGCGGGAAGCAGAACAGGAAAAAATGGGATAAATGTAAAAATAACAAGGAGAGGAAGAGGTGGTCGGGAGACTGGTGACTAACAGATAATTACATACATATACGAATGTATGCATACATGCGCCAGATACATACGCACAAACGCACGAGCGCGCGCGCGCACACACACACACACACACATACAAACATACACACACTCACACACTCTCTCTCTTTATTCCCCCCGTCAACACACACACAGACACACACACACACACACACACACACACACACACACTCCCTCTCCCCCTCCCCATCCCTCCATCCCGTCAACGCATTCTAGAGCGCCGTCGCAGACCCTCCCAAGCAGCCCCGCCAAAATCTCGGCCAATTTAGATAGGATGCAGTTGGCTCCGTCTCTCCCGCGGGGTCCAGATAGTCTGCCGCCGTTTCTCAATGAGGCGGAGGAATGAGGAAAATGAATGACGAGAGGGCGAGGAAAGGAAGAGGAGGGAGCGCTCTTGAGAGAGAGGAAGGAAGCGAAAGAGAGAAGAGAGAGGAAAGAAGACATATATGAATACTGCACATAACAGAATAACGAATCACAAAGAAAAAAATGAATCTATACCTACCCAAATGTACAATCCTAATAAACAACTATACAATACCCCGAGGCGCGTAAAACCCACAGAGAATGGAAACAAATGGTCAAAAAAATAAAAAATATATATATACATTTCGACCGCCAATGAAAACAGCACTGGGAGAGAGAAAAGAATAAAGGTTTACGTAGCGGCGCCCTTAGGCCTATGCCAGCAACCCCGAGACGAAGCCAAAGACAACAGCTGCGCGTGCCACCCGGAGGAGACTCAACGCGGCTGCTGCTGCTGGTCGGCGTGGATGAGGTCACACTCCATTACTATCGGGACACACGCACGGACGGGCACAGGCACGCAGGCATAGCAGGCCACACACACACGACCACAAATATACTCTCATAGGGAAACACGGCAGGCAGGGAGGGGCGGAAAGTAGGAAATCCCGCCCTCCCCAATCGAGGAAAATAGGAAGGCTCTACCAAGGACTACTCCGGAGGGAGGAGGGAGGAGGGAGAAGGAAATGGGAGGCGTTGCGGGACGAGAGGAAAGGGTCGCGAGCCGCAAAGCAAAGAGCTGCATCTCAAGCAGAACGCAGCCTGTCCCTTGCACCTGCATGGAGGTAAGGAGACACCGCAGCTTCCAAGAAAGAGCGCGCGCGTGGCGCCCTCATCACAGGGCGCGGCCGACTGAGCAACGACCCGAGTCTGGGCCCCATCCATCACCGGGATACGAAAACAATGTGGCACTTCGGACTGATTAAGAAAAACAAAGACAATCAGCCAACCTTCTACTACTTAAGATTCCTCCCTTTTGCGAAAAGCAAAGAAAGAGATCGCGGACAAACGACCCATCGGATTCCCCTGCCCTTCAGATTCCTGCATGCACGGCTCAACCAGCGCCGCCGCCACAACCACTCGACCGCAACCACCAGAGGGCAGCAAGGGCCGCCGGGCAAGACAACAATGCGCAGGTGTGGGCGGGAAATCTACCTGTGTGTGTGAGTGCCGATATAAATATAGCATAGCGCAGTGCCGAGTGCCTCGCTGGCCCTCCCACATCTCTCTCTATCGTCACGCTGACCAGTGCCATCAAAACCAGCCAGAAGAACAATTACTTCACACCATGGACGATGCTGGCAACGATGGCGCAAGCACTGGCACTACCCTCTCTAGATTTGTATTTTCATATATTTGTGGGTCTTTTCTTTTTGCAACAACTCATTCTTCTTTCTCCTGCACATAATGGTATGCAGAAATATATTTCGCAACACGTTCTTACGAAGCTTTTAAAATGCCTCTGCTTACATTTTTTACGACTAAAGCTATTAGTATCAGCTACATTTTTATGAACACTAGCGCACACTGATCCAAGAATGGACTAATACCACAGCTCCCATTTCCCTTTTTACGCAAATCTAAGGATCTATACAAATATCACAGCCACAACTTTTTAATCGTTGTGATCACTTTAAAAAATTACCCGACGATTACGCCCTCAGCGCGCCCAGCTCTCCCCGCCCTAGGAATGTTCATTGTCTCGTGCCCCGGACGAAACCTCGGAGAACGGTCATCCGGATGAGAAGCCACATGCGGCCGAAAATCCCCGAAGTGATCGTAAAACCGCGATCTCCCTCGCGCTCTCGGCCTATCGCTTCAACGACGCGGTCTTGATGACGTCACGCAGGTAAATTCATCCCGACGCGGCCTTACGTCAAGACACCCGCCCCTCTCCTCCCTCCCTCTTGTGCAATGTGTTTGTCAAAAGACACGTACGTACGTACATACGGCATATCAAAATAGCTCTTGAAATGCTGAGCTATCGATCCTGTGCCAGCGCGATTCAATACCCGCTTACCCACACTTGAGGAATACCTGGACATGAGGGGCGTCCTGTACTTACCCTGCCGCGGTGACCTCTGTTGACAAGGGGGAGGGAGATAACGAGAGCAAAAATAAAACACTTTACATTAATCACAAAACCTACAGGATGAGTCTTTCCAGCAACGAGCCAGCTCTACTTCTTAAATCAAATGTTCTTCGTAGGCTAAGAAAAACATATACAACTAAGGTATCACTGGAGGGCACACTGGGCGAATTCGAGGTGCTTGTCCGGCATTCGAAGTGAAGGGAAATCACCGCGCAAGAGGAATTGCGGCCGCAGTAATTCTCTCTCCGGCGTGGCGTCCTTTTCGTCTCAGCAAGGAGTCCTCTGTCACAGGGCCGTCACTCAACCCCAACCCGGGGACTGGGGGATGGGGGGAGATGAGGGCCAAAGGTTGGCACTGCACTGGCCCTGCCCTCGTGGCTTTCCACAGCTTTCCGTTTCGAGAAACCGCACTACACCTGATCACAGAACTTAGTTTGAGGGCAACTTCAACGTCCCAGCTAACACTCGTCCCTTCTTTCGCTGGGCAGACACAGATCGGGCGCACGCGAGACCCTGCGTCCAGTGGGCGTGAGGAACTACAAGCTGGGCGAGTTACACTGCTCTGTTTTCCCCTCACGCTGCTGCCTTGTCTAAATTTTCCCACAACCGCACACACAAAAAATTGAGTCCATTTTTCTTGGAGGTGCGTGGGTGGGCGAGGGACGCGCGCGCCTTCGGTCCACTCGTGCACAGTACAAGACCTGCAGTCACGCGTTGCAGATTTTCGCTTTTTTATTGACAGCTGAGGAATACCCTCCTCGCATGGTGGGAAAAACATCTATGGCTGCTGCTGCTGCTGCTGCTGCTGTCACCACGGGGGCATTTTTGAAGCTACTAATAAGCGAAATACCTATGAAGTTCTCTCTCAGTTTCCTCTCTCGCCTGAACTGCGCACTGCAACGCTGCGGACACGCCTTCTATAAACACTCACCAAATCTTAAGGGAAACGAACAACCAGACATTCATTCCCCGCCTGCCAGTCATGCTGCACGCGGGGAAGGAAGTCCACAGCCTGTCACTCCCCGGTGCAGAAGGAAGCCAGGGGACGCGTGCCTGGCAGGTGGAAGTAAACTAAGGCTGTAAACAAAAGCCCGCATATATCATGAGGAGGAGGAGGAGGGGGGTTGGAGGCTGCAGAGGGATCGGGAAATGCACATCTTGAGCATCTTGAGACCATCTAATGTGCGCCGTATCATCCCCAGCTGGGCCCCCGACTCACCAGCTGTGGCCACATGCCGACCTGCCACAGAACCCCAAACCTCACCACAGGGGTTTACCACAGGAATAAAGACGTATTCTTGTGCTTACTGTCTCAAGACTAAACGGAGCTGCTCGCATATAGATAAACAAACAAACGAACGCACACTGACACGCGTTAAAGCACAAGAGCATTCAAATAACACTGAATTCTGGGGGCTGGTTGGGCGGGGGCGGAAATACTACGCTCAGACGAAAATAGCGGATTCTTTGACAAAGAAACGCAACCGAGACAAACAAACTAAGAGGGGTATAGACGCTACAACTAGCTCCACATTAAAGACCCTAAGTGCTTGGAGTGCTTGCAATGGCACAGATTAAAGGTGCAGCGAAGGGCGTGTGCGCATTTGTAGAAACGTATCTCGCCAACTCTCTGCCTGGGAACATTTAAGCATCCAGGAAATAGAACGTTCGAGAATTGGCATTAAGAGGAGAGCATATCAAATACGTAATTTAATGCAATGCCATGATTTTAATTTCATTGAGTGTTTGGAAAAGGAAATCTTATGAATACAAATCTGCAACACACGAAATAAAAACTAGCACGAAAGCGCCTAATTTTACGCCACAGTTAAAAGGGTGGCGGACAGGCGAACCAAACTACCGCCAGGTGTTTAAATCTCGAACTTTACCACATTGGCGAAAAAAATAATAAAAATAAAATACATCCAGAAAAAATAAAACTCACAATTTAACGCCACCTAATACTGTTTAGAGTCGAGGTTAATGCACTGCTCTGAAAAGGGGCATTCGCGGATCCGCCCTTCCGCTCACCGGCGTTTGCAGTTAACTTCCACTCGGATAACTGTATCCCGCACACTGCACAACACATTACACCCCAATATTACACAAAAACCCATTGCTTTAAATCTGATTTTGGTCTTTGAAAAAACAACGAGAGGAAGAAAAAGATGGGAGTTACTGACGGTCCCAAAATCCTTCGCCGACCAAAGGGCTGGATCCACGAACTCGAGGAATCACGGACGCCCCGCGCGGCCACGGACTTAAATCACGGAAGGGAGCGGATAAATGGGGGAGGGGGAAGTCCACGAACGAAGAAAGAGAAGGTGAGGCAGGCGAGAACCAGCCAGGCCCCTCTTACCCGCGGTAGGTCCCCTCCGTCACGTAGTCCGCGCGAGGAAGGAGAGCGCCCTTCATCCTGCAGGATTTAATCGCGTCTCGAATGCGGTGCGAAACAATTCTGAATAAAATGGTCTACTTGTTGCTCCATTGTCTGAGCGCCGGGGGGACTGGGGGGGGGTTATCCAGGCAGTGCACCAACTAACACTTCCGCTTGGGTAGTCCTGAGGATGGGGGGGGGGTCATAGTGTGGCAAGGGAGTTAAAATTATCTGCTCCTCATTCAGCCTCACAATTATACGTGAATTCCCAAGTCTGCCTCCATTCTGCACGGGGGGCGACACCACTAACTCGCACACTTCGACAGGCAAAGTGATTAAGAATAACGAGAGGATCTGCAAAAGTGGAAACAAAAAGGCGAGAGGCCACTAATCCGAGGGACTTTTTACTTCCCACCACGTGTGTGTGCTGACATCTCAAGCTTCGTTTGATCGCGGTTTCTTACCACCGGTCTTAACACACCGGACGCCTTCCCCACGCACCTCCTTCTCAAATTACCGCGTGACAAGATTAATGCTATCGGTTCTGCCAGGTGCACGGGGCTTCACCTCACTGTACTGTTTACTTTCATTGTTGCAAGATAGGCACTTCTGTACTCTATGGAATCTCCACATCATAAATCAGAGGAAATAAACGTTTGCCATCGACCTTAGCAAGTACGTGTAAACACATCATTTTTTTCCATTTCGACGCCGCTCGCACCGCGGTTCACTTCGGTCACGCCGATTTACGAATCGGCGCGTCCGTTTCCTCGGCACACACCTCGCCTTCGAAGAGCACCGTTGTAGTGCCACACGGCGGCCAAACCTTCGACGCACCTCGAGAACTCTTTCCACACCTCCTCGGGCCGGGCGAGCGATTCGGTCTCTCGTCCACCGTCCCCGGGTCTGCCTCGACCCCCCACCCCGGCCCTCTGGCACCCACTCAACTTCTTGCTCGCAGACACATGTACCACAGTGCCCGCTCTGCCGCGCACAACACATTCACAGGTCCAGTTTCAGAACGGACGCTGCCCTCCGCAACACCTGGCTCCTCTGCTTGCTTCTTCCTCGAGCCGCGACAGAACTGCGCTTCACTGCGGACGGACCGCCGACGAGCCGTCAGCGAATCAGCCACCAAGTAATTGCCAAGGGTCATCCATCGACCATGTCCCAACGGCAGTTATAGGAAGGCGTAAAGCAGCGGAGTGGAGGACGACCTCCAGCGCATCGTGAAAATCAAGGCACAGCCAGGCACTCTCACCCTCTCCCAACTTTCTCAGCTGACCGAAGTGCTACTGTGGCCCTCCGCTCGCCTCTCCTCGCGCCGGGTCTCTGTGGTGTCCAAAGGGAGTGTTGGAGAAAGGGGAGGGGGGCAGCCAAACCTCCCCTCCTTCTATCTCCCTCCTTTTCTTTATCTCTCTCTCTCTCTTTAGCCTCTCCCCCTCCGCACATTATCTCTCCTCTCTCAATCTCTTCTTTCCCTCTCCCCCCTCCCCTTTATCTCCACCACCCTTCTCCCTTCCCCCTACCCATCTCCACCAAACCTTCTCACTGTTCCCTCTCCCTCACCCCTCACTACTCCCCCTCCCTCTGGCACTCACAACCATCTTGGCACTGGCATCGCATGAGTACTTCCCCACCCCAGTCCCCCTCCGCCCCTCCCCCTCCCTCATCACATCTCAATAACGAGATAAGGCCCGCAAGACGCCTTCTGGGATGCGCTAAGGCCCCTCGTGTCTCATCGCGACGCCATCACCTGTCGGGGATGATCGCCGAAGGAACCATAGGAGGAGGAGGGGGGGGGGCATCGAGAGGAGAAGAGTGGGAAGGGGGAGGAGGGAGGAACAGTGGGAAGGGGAGGAGGAGGGAGGAGGGGTGGAGAAGGAGGGGGGTAGAGGAGTAGAAGTAAAGAGAGGAGGAAGAAAGAAAGAAAGAAAGAAAAAAAAAACAGGGATAGGAGCTGAGGAGACGAAGAGAAGAAACCACGACAAACAAAAGAACAAAGAGAGAAGAAAACAAAGAGAACCAAAACTGCAAATCACACGCAACCGCAACGAACGAAAAGAAAAAGAAAAGAAAAGAAAAAAGGCCAATCAATTTACCCGGAAATTCCGCCGATTCCTCGCCATGTCCAAGTAGCTGTCGTTAGCTCCCAAAAAAATAAACAAAATGCCACATGCGTCCGAAATAACACATTACGAACCGGGGCAACCAACAGTACAACACTGCCACAACAGGGCGAAACGTTACTATCCAATAACAAAAAAAAAAAAACAATTCCATCAAAGGCAAAACGTTACAAAACAATAAAAAAAAAAAATATTCCACCAAAGGCTAACCGTTACAAAACAATAAAAAAAACCTATTCCACCAAAGGAAAAACGTTACAAAACAATAATAAAAAACTATTCCACCAAAGGCAAAACGTTACAAAACATTAAAAAAAACTAACAAACAAAAACAAATATCTATTCCATCAAAGACGTCGGGAATTGACCATCCCTTCTTCGCCTGGCCATCGCCGCCCATCCCGGGTCCCCTTCGTCGCCGCCTTCGGGCCCTCCGATGAAACCGACATCGATCAACGCCCGTGTGTGTCTCCTGGCCCTGTCCTGCCCTCCCCTCCCCCGCCCTCCCCTGTTAGCTCGTAAAAATAAACAACTGATGTACGCGCGCCAGAGGTAGGGGGTAGGTGGTAGGGGTGAAGGGGAGGGGTGAAGGGAGAGGTGAGGGAAGGGGTAGGGTGAGAGGGAGAGAAGGTAAGAGAAGGGGAGGGGTGGGGCAGAAGGGATGAGAGGGAAGGGGGAAAGTAGGGGAGGGGAAAATAGCGGGGAGGAGTGGGGAGAGGAGAGGGAGAGAGTAGGGCAGGGGGAGGGAAGATCAGGGGAGGGGTGGGTGAGAGTAAGAGACGAGAGGGGGAGAAGAGGGGAGGGGAAAGGAGGGGAACGGAGGATAAGGGGTTCGGTAAGTGGTAATGGGCAATGGTGGGAGAGGGGGACGGGGAGGGGGCGGCGAGCCAACAGCGACACTACGGATGGGGGGTTATAGAGCGTGGAGGTGAGTGGAGGGGAAATTGCACGCCAACCTGCACATACCAGGTGGACATCTCTGCCATCCTGCAACGGCTTCAGGCGAACAAAAAAATCTCCCCTCTTCTCTCTTCTCTTACGTGTCTCTTCTCCGCTCTTCTTTTCCTCTTCCCTCTCTCTTTTCTCTCCCTCCAACCGTT